GTCGCTCAACATATTTGAGTGACCATATTTTACTGTAGGTTTATTATTATGAATAATATCTTAATTTATATATAATAATATGACCGATTAATTATAGCTATAAAGTATATTATCTATACATACTGACTATATTACATATATTATCATATATATATATATATATATATATGACTAACACACACTCACATATATACTATATTAAATATATAATAATACTGCGGATTCATAACAATCAATTATAAATATATAGTCCTAATCTCGTGCTGTGTGTGAGTTGTGTGTAGTTAATTATCGTAATTAAGACTCAATAGCTAGACTAACAAAATATGTTATGTACTAACTAAATAACCTATATCAGGTGCTATAATCATTTACACTATATATATATTTAATATAATATATAAGCAGTGTGGTGTGTGTGTTTGTGCAGACTGTGTTGTGTGTAGTGTGTGTGTCAGTGTGGGTTGTGTCGTGGGTGCATGTTGGTGTTTGAATGGTGTGTCGCCTTTGTGATAGTGTGCGGATAGATGCGTGATGACGATGTCGCGATAGTAGCGCGTGTAGACGTCTGTGCGGTGTGCGTGTGATCGAGTCTAGTGTGCTTGATGTGGTGTAGTGGCTCGCTCTAGTCCTCCGATGTGGTACTCGACGATGTGTGTGTCTGTGTGGGAGTGCTATGTTGTGTTGAGAAATGCGTAAGGTGTGTATGCTAATTGGTGGCTCAGAGTATCGTTGCATATGGTGATGTTTGTGTCGATAGCAGCTATTCTACGAGACATCCTTGCACGCTCAAATATTTATGTGTGTAGTTAGGGCTATTAGTCGATGTTAGTTACTACTCTATTTATCTAATCATTATCTTGATAAATTTATTATAATATCAATATTATATATATATATAATTATTAAATATATAACATATAAATAATATTAATATATTAATTAATATTAATATAATATATATAATATAATAATATATATATTTAATATATATTATATGTTTATTAGTATTCCACGATTAAATGAATATAATGTTTATATTTTATATATTATATCTGAAATAATTATATTATTGCCTATACAATATATAGTAGAGGCGGATTTGAGAGGAGATGACGAGTAGACCGTAAACTTATGCTATTATATTTCATCTGTTATATAATCAAACGTATAGCTATGGATATTATGCTTTTCGTCACACTGGGTGCCATAGATTTTTACAATCGCAAAACTCTCTGTGGAAACTCATATAGGACATGATAGATAATCACGCTCAGTTCTACTTCTTATTTAATCAGAGTAAATCTACTATATAAGTATAAGTTAATCATTACCATTCTATTCGCGGGTTGTGCGACGATTAGTAACCATCGACGATATATAACCAGACCAATACAAGTTATTCTCCCTCCATGCCTACGAGCTAGGATACTGTCCTCATTCCGAGCTGCACACCTGGGACTGGGGGTGGGCAGTGAGCGTGTGTCATTCAATCGCAATCTTTTAACGCCTGTCCAGGCGACGTTCGCGTGTTCCTAAGTGAAAGTGACGCACATAGTCGTCACTGTCGATTATCACTCGCCCTGCCTGAGGTGAGTGAGATTATTAATAGTCTGTAAATAACTAGCTACCTACATACACGAGAATGAAATCTCACCTACTTCAGTAATCTCTTGGCCTCTCATAAGGTTAGCTAGGTTTACGGCTTTATGTGCAATACTAAGATAAGGCATTGTTTCTCACTGACGACCTTGTACTAAGTACTATCTATGTGACTTTTAGCTACGGAGTTATATGCGACATAATTTAGGTGAATACTATTGGAGTATATGCAACCAGGTGCGAGCGATAACCACGTAGACATGCTCATCTTCGCACGCCCATCGTAGGACTGCACTAACTCACATACATTTTTCATCCACAACTTCACAACAGTCTAAAGTACATCATTATAGATTTGTGCCAGAACACGTACTATACGTATTGCTCAACACGCCACACTCGACAACGCAGCATGTGAGCCACGCAAGCTGAGCAAAAGATGAGCGGCTAGTGTGTACCATCTCCCGGCACACGCTGACAAATGTGTGCGGACAGCGACAGGATGGAAGCAAACTATGTGCGCAGCAGTGACGAGGTGCAAATCATTCAGGTACGCCTCACGTAGCATTGGCGTGAGATAACGCGTCTCGGTGGTGGCGCTTCGTGCTAACGCCCCTCTAGTCGCCTTCTTCTCCTACAATTATATTATTAATGTTATATGTACTATTGTAGTGCTCAGATAATAAGGGTTGGTAAATATATGTTGATTTAACTATTTTACCTGAAAAGTATTAATATATTTCCTTTTTTATAAAATTCATACTTAGTAATTTTTACTTGATTCATATCTTGCTCATCTCCTTACCCCCTCCTACCCCTCTGTCGAATAATGTGTCGCTTCCTGTACCATTAATAACCGTTTCACAAGGCAAGTTTTACGGCACCGGCACATCACCGGCATTACACAAACACGCTGTTTCGTTACAGCCTTCTGCTGAGCGCGGGCGTCATCAATCCATCAGGTTCTTCAGCTGCACATGGTAAGTAACGGTTAAACAAAGCAGGTTAAGGAGTTACCTAATGGGTAAGACGAGGAGAGGGGAGGATCGGTTGTGGCGTACGTGCGGTGTGTGTTAAGATCGTGTGATGTGGGTGGGATGGTGTATGATGTATGTATGTTTAGTAGTTAGTGTGATTAGTGGATGTGTGATGGGATCTGTAGGGTGCGGTGATCGTCAGTATGTCGTGCGTAGATATCAGATTAGCTGGTTAGTATGTGTGTTAGTATTAGGTATTTTATGATGATATAGTGTTAGTTATAGATTAGTGTATTTGAATGTAGTGTATAATATTATTTGATTTAATGTTCGATATGTTTGATAATATTAGTTGACATGTGTCATGCCTCAATCAATATCACTCAGCATATAACTGTGTCTATACAATCATGTCAACACCACATAACCATTCAATAAACACACTACAACACACACCACACACCCCTACCGGGATTGGACTACAATAAAATGACGAGACACCGTCAGGTACTACTTTTAATTCTTTTACAAAAAGAAAACTAAATTTATCCAATGAGATAAACCACGAATTAATAAGCTACTACAGACACACTACCAGCTCTTCTCACTACTCTCGACAAGCAGACACCAGTCATTCACGTCTCGTATTGATCGCTAAATGCGCCCTCAGTCACTGAGTTGACCAAGTATCACGCGACAGCGTCAGCAAGCTTATGTGCGTTCTCAAACCTAGCTCGACGCAACATAGAGGCTACTAACCTTAACACAGACTGCTGTAGCCATCCGCTATTCGCCGAACACGACGCACAGTATATACCTTCTCAGTTAGAACACTTATTTCACTTTAATTCTTATATATTCTAATACATGATTTATTTGAGGTAGTATAATACGACGCTTAGTTAACTCTACTAAGTAGATATATTAACTATCTTTATTAAGATACAGACTCAGAAAACATTATATATGAGAACTGTGTGACGTTTAGATGCCGTGTGCTGCGTATAGATTTCAAGTGTATATATAACATAATATCACAAGAACATATATATATAAATATATCTTAAATCTATAAAAATACTCTAATACTATTTAATATATAGTGTATATAGTTTAATATTTAATAATATAATTAATATATTTATATATAATACATAATATATATATATATAATAATATACTACATGATAATAATATTGATAACATACTATACAACACTAACTACATATATATTATATAGATAATAATATATATATCATAACTATACACTAATCACTAATACATACTAATACACTAATAATACCATACTACATACTCATAATCATATAACCTAATATATATATATACTAACTGATTAATACATCACTATATTATATATATGATTTTAGTTTAATATTAATAATATATATATCTATAATACTATTAATAATAATAATATATTAAATATAAATATTAATATATATTATATATATATAATTAGGTATTATGATTATATATATATTAGTTGGTATGTTGTTATTATTAACGGTTTTATGTAGATATTTAGTAGTTGCATGGCTTGGTGGCTAGTGGTGGTGTGGTGTTGATAATGAAAAATATTTGATATTGATTATAACTTCGAATTGCTATGTAGAAGTATTCTATATATTATTGCTAAAATTATCAGAGACAAATCGCACGTCAACGTATTCATTATATCATGTATGATATCATAATAAAAGGATAACAGTATAAATACATATATAAAATATGAAAAATAAAAAAAATAATATTAAGAAAAAGAATAGATGACGTGTAGAAAAAGGTTTATAGATAATAATCATACGTTCTATGATATTAGATAGATGAATACACTTAACATAAAAATGTATAGTAAACACAAGGGATAATAATAAACACTGAATAGTAAGTATAGCGTATGATTAGGCGTTGTAGTGTTCGTATATAATACTCAAAATAATTAAGATACTATTATAATAATACTTATATATATTATTATATATATATATAGTATATTTATAAGTATAATATCGAATGATAATATTAATATATATTAATGATATGATAGCTTTTAGAATAGGATAAGATATTAGATAGATGATGATAGATATAATTGATAGATAGATTAAGATTAGATAGATAATAGATCCATATATATATAATATATGATAGTAATATTATATATATCTGTAATATACTATATATATATATATAGTAGTTTTTTATTTATATTTTTATAGTTTATTTTTTATATAGTTAGTTTTAATAATTTATATTTTATTTGTATTATATAACTATTTATTTATTATTTTTTATTTTTATTATATTCGCTTTAGATTACATGTAGTATTTATTATGTTTATTTTGATGAATATGTGTTAGTTTGTGTGTGCTGTCATGTGCTAGATTAGTTAGTGGGTAATTTTATGAGGTGATGATAGTGTAGTTATGTAGTATGTTAATAGTAGTGTGGGTTAGTGAACGTATATCGTGTGTTGTAATTGTTTTTAGCGTGGTGTGTTGATTTAATTGATATATTTTACATATCTTATATATATAAGTAGTATATAACTGATGATCATACATTATTTTATATATATGTATTACATATATATATATAAGTAACTTCTGTATATTGCCATATATATTAACCATATAAGTTATTCTCAACATATATGTAACTGTATTTTTAATCAGGGGTATATATATAACATATTATATATATATAGGATTAAGTATATACTCTTTATTCAATGTGAGTCATATAATACGTGGACTGAGGATTATTACATATACTTTACATTATTCTATATATATGTATTAATATATATACTAATAATGATATATATAATTTATATATATGTTGTACTTATATATCATATATACTTTATATATAGTATATTAGTGATCATATATTTATATATATATTTAAACACGAGAATACACAAGTAATACTATTCACATACACTCATACATGTATAAGGCGGCAAAGGAAGAATGTGAAGCAAAAGAATTACAACTAAACTTAAACAACTGCATCTACTTTAACCTTAAAGCTGTTGCATTACCAGCACGTCGCCTTAAATAGCTGCATCGGCTGCAGTGACAAGAGAAGTCCTCCCGCACGTCAAAAACACACTTTTACGGCTTCGTAACAATACTTTACTGTCAAGTGTCGCCATCCAATGCTTGGCAGAGCCCCGCGCCTCCCTCGACAGACGTTAAAGTTACACGCCCAAGCCCCGCGGGTTACGTTCGAGTGTTGGTTCGACGGAGAGGGCGAGCGGCGGCTCTTTCGGAAATGGTCGCGGAGGCGCCGATCGGAGCCTTCTACCTGCTGCACCTTAATGTGCAATTCATTCTGGCCATCTTTACTTCACAGTTTCTAATCAAAAGCGTCTACTGTAGTAATGTGCTTAATAAAATCGTTTACGTTTAACAATTCTGTTATTGATTCGATGATAGTCTCAGTAACATGCAGACAAAACTCGTTTCTAATTACAGATTACTCATGATTTGCTCACTTTGATTAAAAAAAAAAAAAAAAAAAAAAAAAAAAAAAAAAAATATATTATATATATATATAATATATATATATATATATATATATATATATATATATATATATATATATATATATATATATATTTATTTTGACTCCCTAATGTAGTGTTCTTTTAATCACCGAATGATTACGCGACAAGAAGCTAGTGCTGTGTGTGACTGTAAAACCTTTTTAGTGGTAAGGGCTTTAATAGAAGGGGCCGTTTCATTATGAAACGCCTCCGTAAGACTGCTGAATCTACTACTCTCAATGGAATTTCATTTCAATAAACATACTCTCTCTTTCTCTCTCTCTCATCTCTCTCTCTCTCTCTCTCTCTCTCTCTCTCTCTCTCTCTCTCTCTCTCTCTCTCTCTCAAGCGCACACGCATGTACTCTATCTATCTATCTATCTCTCTATCTCTCTTTCTCTCTCTTTCTCTCTCTCCTCTCTCTCTCTTCTCTCTCTCTCTCTCTCTCTCTCTCTCTCTCTCTCTCTCTCTCTCTCTCTCTCTCTCTCTCTCTCTCTCTCTCTCTCTCTCTTCAAGCACACGCATGTACATTCGTTCGCACGCACACATGCATGCACCCAAGGTCTATATAGTACTTAT